GTAGACCAGGCTGGCCTCAAACTCACAGAGATTCACCTGCCTCTACCCCCCCCACCCTAGTGCTGGTATTAAAGGTGTGTGCCACCCCAACTCAGCTAAAAATAAATCTTAAAAAACAAAAAACAAAACAAATCATCTGATTGCAGTGCACAATGTGAAAGCCTGCAGAGCTTTCTCACTCAAAATAAAAACTCAAAGTCCTCAAAAATGGCCTATGGGTTGAGGGTGTGGCCCAGGTGGCAAGCACACGGCTTCCAGGGCACCCAAAGAAGAGAGGAAGCTGGGGAGTGTGACTCAGGAGAGGACTGGTCGAGCACACAGGAGTCCCAGTACTGCATAAACTGAGTGTGTGTGCATGTGTGTGTGGTGTGGGAGAATTGTCTGTATTCTGTCAATCATATTTTAATAAAACGCTGATTGGCCAGGCAGGTAGTATAGGCTGGAAAGCCAGACAGGAAGTAGGGGTGGAACAAAAAGACTGGGAGTATTCTAGGAAAACAGGAAGCTCCCTCCGCAGTTCTGCCCAGACCACTGGAGAGGAAAGATGTAAGCTGCCCCGCTGGGAAAGGTACTGAGCCATCTGCTAACGTAGATAAGGATAATGGGGTAACATAAGTTATAAGAGCTAATAAGTAGCCTGACCTAATGGGCCAATCAGCTTTATAACTTATAGAGATTTCTGTGTGATTGATTTTCTCTGGGAGTTGCCGGTTGTGGGGTACCAGGCGGGAACAGATACCCCAACAAGCCGGCCCTCATGCTACATATGTGTGTGTGTGTGTGTGTGTGTGTGTGTGTGTGTGTGTGCGCGCGCGCATCTGTAATCCCAGCATTTAGGAGGGTGGAGGCAGAGGGAACCAGAAGTTCAAGATCATCCTCAGCAACATAGAAGGTGCATAGCCCGGGAAACATGAGACCATATGTGTAAGACTCAAAACTGCCCTCCACCACAGTGCTGAGATGGGATTTCTAAAAGATGGGAACTGACATTAGTGGTAGGGGAAATGACAGTGCAAGATGGAGCCCTCAAGGCCATTTGTCCATGCTCCTATCCTACCGAGAAATGAAGACACAGAGGTCCCCACTTCTCCACAAGGGATATATTCCAATGCCCACAATGGGTACCTGGAACTGCGGATAGTTCCAAACTCCACTTGCAATGTACTTTCCCCTGTACATACATACTATGATAAAGTTTACCTACAAATCAGGCAGAGTTAATGATTAAGAATAACTAATAAAATAAAGCAAACAAAGTAATACACTCTAAGTTACACGAATATGTTCCCTTAAAAAAGAAAATCCTGCCAGGCTGGAGGCAGACAGCACCAGGCAGATCTCTGTGAGTTCGAGGTCAGCCTGGTCTACAGAGCGAGTTTCAGGGCTGGTTCCAAAGCTACTGAGAAACCCTGTCTCGAAAGACCACAAGAAAAACAAAACAAAACAAACAAAAAAACAAAACCCAATCTTGTCATCCTGCCACGGCCACAGACTTCACCTCCTGTTCGTCACACAGTGCAAGCAGCCTTGGCACCTCCGGGTCCCTCCCTCCCTTCCTCTCCGATATCTATCAGCTTCCATCGTTGCTCAGGCTTCACCTAATTGAGTCTTTTCTGTCTGCCCCATTCAAACCTTCCCGTACACCTTCCATGTTCCTAATTGAGCTCTTTCAATATTACGTCTGTTTACTCTAGTCGTTCACAAGCCCTGCCGTGTACCTTTGGAGGGCAGAGGACAACTGGACAGCTCGTGGGAGTCCATTCTCTCCTTTCCCCCATGTGGGTCCTGGGGATCAAACTCAGGTCACCAGCCTTGGCAGCCAGTGCCTCTGTCCCCTGTGCATCTTTCTGACCCTTCTCCTTAGCTCGATACTATGTATCCTACCAGTTATCTATCTTAAGTGCCTCTCCCCTCCATGTTAGAATTAAAGTCCAAAGACAGAACTCGTCCCCACTCCCACTTCCAGCTTGGTCCCTTACACCTTGCGTGGTTTCTGGCCCACAAACGGAACACAATACGACAAAGGCACAAATGAAGGACAAGCATATATCAGGGCTGCCTGAGCTCACATTCTGCTTTCAGGAATGTGTCCCTTGCCTTCCCACTGCCCAGGGCCATTGCCACACATGAGCAGGGAACACTCTCATGTGACGGGCACCCTGCCCAGAGCAGCTCACAGAGTAGAGGAGTACCAGTAATCTGGGCTGGATGTGCAACTCGGTGATGGAAGGTTCGTCTGGTGGCTGTGACTCCCTGGGTTGGGGCTTCAGCTCTTGGGGGAGGACTTGCACCCGAGTGTCAAGGTACAGGTCTATAATCCTACCTCCTCAGAAGGTGGAGGCAGGAGGTTCGCAAGTTTTAAAGGTAGCCAGAATGATTTGGTGAGACTGGCTCAAAATAAAGTTTAGGAAGAGCTGGAGGCTGCAAGCCATATGTGGGGCCCTGAAACATTTTCCACAATATACACTCCAAAGCAAGCCACAGATCCTGGCTTCACACAAGCAGCTGTCCCCAGAGCCTGCCAATGTGGAAGGGTAGAATGAGCCCGAGAGGGCCCGCTAAAGCTGGAAAACTTGGGGGCAGCCAAGTCTTTCTAGACCAGTAGTTCTCAACCTTCTTAATACTGCGACTCTTCATTATGGTTCTTCATGCTGTGCTGACCCCCAATCATAAAATTACTTCATCGCTACTTCATAACTGTAATTTTGCTACTGTTAATAAATCATAATATGACCCCAAAGGGCTGCGACTCACAGGTTGAGACTTGTTCTAGACCTCTGGTCTAGAGCGGCCCACAGTTCTAGGCTTGTTCTGATCTTCAAACCTTCAAAACCTTCTGGGTCAAACACAAACACCAAACCCACTCTGGGGGAAGCTATGCTGGGAATGGGCAGCTGGGGACTTGTCTGACGTGGCTGAACAAGGCTCAGGGTGAAACAGATAGGAACTGACTCCTGGGTATGCACAACTTGAAAGGCCTGTGAGATAGTGGGCAAAGGTGGAGGGAAGAGGCCAGATCCACAGGGTTACCCTCTGGCCTCCATACATGTACTGTAGCATGCACACACGCACACACGCACACACACACACACCATCTGTCTCTCTCCCACACACACATAATAAATAACAAAGTTTAAAAAAATGGTGATCAGCTATTGAATAATTTATTCTGGGTTCTTAGACCCTTGGAATTGCTTGTCCCCTCCAAGTGTGCAGGGCTGGCAGGACCCTGTATATATACATATGTGTGTGTGTGTGTGTGTGTGTGTGTATACATTTAAGGTGGTGAACTGATGAAGTTTCTTCCCCCTAAAAGTTCATGTGAGGAAATGACATAGTTTCTAGCTGGGAGTAGAATAATGGGCGTCTAAGTGTTTGTCCCATGGAAAGACTGAGTCCTGGGCCTTCCCAAGTTCTAACTTATCAGGGCTGCCAGCAAGTAGCTGCTGGAGAATACAAGATAGAAAAAAAATGCATGTGGGACCATGGGGCATCAAAGACACAGGATGGTTTTTTTGTTTTGTTTTGTATTTAAGCACCACCCCACTTGGAGACCTTTGGGAAGTACCTTCCACCGATGGCCTTTTAAAACGTATACCCACCCACATTTAGAATCCCAAAGGAACCTTATTTTCTTGTTAGTGTGATTTCTCCGGGTAGTTTTTGCTTGTTTGTTTTGCCATTAATGCAGACCTCCCAAAAAAGGGAAAAGATGAAAAAGAAAAAGAGAACACTGGATGCCTTTAACTTCTACCTTATTTTGCTGCAGGGCTGCCATATGGGCGTCTTAGAGGCCCGAGACACTTGACCGGGTTACAGGACTCAGAGATTCCAGAAGCACAAAAGCAGAAATGTCCCTTTCTCCTTGGCAAAGGGGGAGGGTCAGGGGCTCCGCCCTCTCCCTCCTCCTGGCCCCCAGCTCCGGTCAGCTGCTCCCACACTCAGTTAAAGATTACCACTTTAGCCAGGACGAACCCCATAGCCAGACCCACCCCCCTCTTCCTCATTCTCTTGGCTAACCCTAAGGAGCTTTGGGCCAGGTCAGGATAGAATTTCCGTGGCAACAGGCATCAAAAAAGGCCACCAAGCACTCTACATTGTTCCGTCTTTTATAGCAGGGCGCTGAGTAGCTAGGGTATAAAGGATGCCCACTTGCCAGACGGGGCAGTCTGGTTGGTAACGGAGACTCTAGCTAAACCCTGCTTGTTTTGCCTCGATGTGCACCTTTATGTTTAAGAAGGAAGTTGAAGGCAAGCAATGCCGACCTCGTGGGAACGACTGACTGCAGAAAATGACAGTGTGCATGCACGGCCTGCTCTCCACAGCTTGGACACCAAGCAGGACCGACTCACAAGCAGCACAAGTCTGGTACAGCAAGGAAAGGCCCACTCTGAGCCTCCTCAGGGCAGCGAAGGGTGGGGGAGAGGCAGGCAAACAAAAGCGGGAAAAATAGAAGGACATTCCTCCAGCTGTCGAGTAAATGTTCCAAAAATAGCTGACGTGGGCCTGCTGGGGAGGAGGAACCAGAGAGCGCGGGGATTGGAGCGAAGGGGAAATGGAGGCCTCTCCTCCTCGCCTTTGTCTGAGTCGGGACCGCGAGGTGACCCTCCCCTGCCTAGAGCAACAGCAGGCCGCTCCCGCCCCTCCGGGTCGCTCGTCCCCTCCAAGGGCTCAGGGCAATCAGAATACCCCATTCCGGGTCCAGGCACCCCCAGAAACGCTCCCCCGGAATACCTTGTTAGTCCCAACCCCGACGGGGCCCAGTGATCATGCCCCAGGCCACCAGCTGCCGCTGTTCCCTACACCCCAACCCCTGCAGCAGCCTGGGCACGCCAGGCGCTGGAGCCCGGAACGAGGCCAACGCCCAGCCCTTCGCGACCCGCACACCGCTGTTCCCCGGCCGTCGGCGTGTCGCTAGTAGCGCTCCGGGGTCCCCCTCCCGGGACGTCGCCACGTCGCAGCGCTGCACGAGCACCCGCCCCCCTTGGTGCGGCACTCACAGTGGCGCCGTGGCTGCTCCGGCCAGTTGGGGACAGTCAGGGCGGCCGGTGCCCAGGCCCGCGCCGAGCCTGGAGCTCTGCAGAGCGAGTGCACGGTTCGCAGGTAGCTGGCCATCCCGAACAGGCGAGGTCCGACGCGCCGCTGCACCAGGTTGTGCGGCGGGGACTCTGCTGGCCCGGGTGGCCGGGACCCAACCGGGGCGGAGCTGCGGAGCCCGCCGCCCCATTGGGTCTCACCCGGGAGAAGGCGGGTCCAGGGCCGGGGCAGGAGCCTGCCTGCCACCCTTGGGCCTGTTCCAGAGCCCCGGCTGCCCCAGCGCTGAGCCCGCGCTTTCTGGGCACCTCAGTCCATCTCCGAAGCAGCAGAAGCCAGTGAGACCCATTCGGGTCGCGGAGGCTCACGGCTGCATGACGCCCGGCTTCCACCAGGATGTCAGCGGCGGTCAGGTCGCCGTAGTCCCCTGTGTCTTCCTTGTTTGGCTGATTGACCCGACCGAGGCGCCTTCATCTAGCCGATTGACATGCGTGGCGTTCTTGAGCCAAGATCACCGCATCTAGGATCTCCTCCTAGTATCGTTCAGTTGAGTGGACTAACCTGGATCGAGAGTTAAAATTCTGAGTGTGGTGGAGGCGAGTGGATCCTGAGTTCTGTTCGTGAGTTCAAGGCCACCTTGGGCTACCTGAGACCCTGTCACAAAAACAAAGCAAAGCAAAGGGCAAAGGGTTGAAATCCGGCTTTTGTTCCTCACTAGACCAAACTTCTAGCCCCGAAGTCCAATAGCGTGGCCAGAATCTGTTTTCCCAGGGCCTAAGAGAGTTGCCAGGAGACTTATGTGACATTATGTGTGTAAAAGGTTTAAGGTGCAGGTACCCTTCATGGCACAACCGCTTCCCAAGTTAATTACGTCCTATGCCAGTAGTTAGGTGGTTCTGAAAGAGAGCCCCTATCTCCTATATCCTAAACAAAGGCCCGGCCACCACTTGACCCAACAGCTCCTATTTTGCCTGTTTGCACGGAAAAAACAAACAAGAAATCTGGCAGAGACAACCTAAATCCATCACCGCCCATTTTCTTGAGGCTCACTGAAGGCTGGGCTCTGTGTCTCAAAATCTAACAGACCCACCCCAGCTTTCCTAATGATACCAAAGGAGAGCAGCCTTTCTGGCCGGTGCTCCCAGATCTCACAGCATTGCCAGGTGGAGCTGGGCCAGGAAACTGACCTTGAACTGCTAACTTCAAAGCTTCACTCCTGGAGTCTCAGTCTGGCAGTTTCAGCTCTAGGATCCAACAGAGAGAGTATATGCAAGGAGAGGCTGCTTTACCTCGTTCCAAAGCATGAGTCAAAGGAAGGCCTGGCTTGGGGTAGCTTGTTCCAGGGTTTCTCTGTATAGTTTTGGAGCCTATCCTGGAACTAGCTCTGCAGACCAGGCTGACCTTGAACTCACAGAGATCTTCCTGACTCTGCCACCCAAGTGCTGGGATTAAAGGCATGCGCCACCGCCGCCCCGCTGGCCTGAAAGCCTTTTTACTGGGTTCCCGATTCTCTGGCCTAAAGCTCTGATAAAGACCATGGAGGTTGCTGGCTCTGGCTTCCATGCTATCCTGGTAATATCAGGTTCCTGGACTTCAGGATCCACACCTACAAGGTTGGAGAACAGACCAATGAGATGCAGTTATGGAGGTCAAGGGCCCACATTGCCACTGCCAGAAGGGTTGCAGTTACTCCCCATCCCCACCAGGGACTTCCTGGAGGCTTGGCAGGCCTCTTGTGCTGTAGACTCCTGTGTTTGTCTGCTGAGGGACCAAAGTAGAAGTCTTTGTGGTTTTTATGAGCACAGCATCAGTTGGGGGAAGTTGAGGCAGTTTCACTTTTTAAACTGTTTCTCGTTGCCTGCTCCAACACCATTCCAGCTTTCTACAAACAGTGATTGTAAGGCAGCTGACCTCAGAGAGGTTAGGCCACTAGTTCAAAGTCATTCAACCAAGATGTGGCAGAACTCCAATTCAAACCCAAATACCTGCATGACAGTCCATAATTCACTTAAGGACACAAGAGAAAAACTAGAACCTTCACTATTCATATTTGGAGCTACTGATCGTGGTAATTTCTTTAAAATTATTATCATTATTTTAATTTGTGTGTGTGTACATATTGCCTTCATGTATGTTCATGTATCACATATATGCTTGGTACCCTCAGAGGCCAGAAGAGAGTGTGGAAATAGAGTTCTAGATAGTTGTGAACTGCCATGTGGGTGAATTGAACCCATGTCCTCTGGAAGGAGTACTCTTAACGTGAGTCATCTCTCCTGCCCCACATGGTAACTTTGGACCCTGAAAGTTTTGCCTGTGGTGCTATTTAAAGAAAATGGGGTCAGAGTCTGTAATTTGATGTCAGTGAGTTGGGACACTGGGCGTGTGTGTGTGTGTATGTGTGTGTGCGTGTGCACACTTGTACCTGTGTATAAGTGGTGGAGTATGCACGCTACATCATGACTGTGGAGCTCAGAAAACCCTGCATGTCAGTCCTTCCACGACCTCATCTGAGGCAGAGCGTCTCTTATTTGCCACTGCTTACGGGCATTCTCCTGCCTCTGCCTCCTGCCTCATCACAGAACCACCGGAGTTACAGATATGCACCATGGTGTCTGGCCTTCGATGGGTTCTATGGAATCAGCACAGGTTCCCACATTTGCAGAGTGAGCCCTTTACCTGTTGAGTCATTCCTCAGCCCCCCCATTTTAAAGTCAAATTCCGTTTCATGTCCCTGGAGAAGGACAAAAATACCTGCATTACTCTCTCTCCACACCTCTTAGACTCCATGTGTATAGATGCAGTTATCACAGATCCAGGGACAAGTGGAGAATCCCAAGAGAAACTTCCTTCTTTCTTTCATTTTACTATTGTCATTTATTGTTACTTTTAAACAAGGTCTTATGTAGCCCAGGATGATCTCATACTTTCTATGTACTGGGAAACGACCTTGAACTCCTGATCCTCCTGCCTCCACTTCCCAGTGCTGAGATTACTCTACTTCCAAGAGTTTTGATGGCACATGAGTCATCTGGCAAGAAGAAAGTTCCCTGTGCTGTAGGAGCTTTCCTGAGGATCGTGTATGTTGTTGGAATATCCACCAAGAATGTGAGGTGTCCAGGCCACAGACTGACAGAGGGGGTGTCTCATGCTTCATCCAGCCTCCACTGCAGGCCTGTGTTGAGTGGTGCGCTTGGAAGCAGAGTGTAGGCTCCCAAAACAGAGATAAAGATGTGCTGAGAGCAGGGGCTCACACCTAGGAAGAGAGACCTGAGTCTCTGGACCAAAGACAAGACAAGCCTGACATGGGTCCTGGAAGACTTCCAGAAAGGATAGGATGGTACGGGTTAGTGCAGCAGCAGCCTGAACACAGGCCTGGCAGCAGAGGAGCCGGAGTGAGTCAGACCTCCCCCTAGAAGGCTGAAGAATGGCGGTGCCATTATTAGAAAGTGGAAAACAGAAGGCGAATGTTGATGGCTAAGCGAGCTATTTATGGTGATCTCCCCAGTCTGTCCTGTGCCTGTTTCCAGCACCTTCTCCCTGAAGCCAGGCTCCAGGAGTCAGTCTGCAGCTCAGATTCCTGCTGAAGCTCTCCCATGAACCGGTATGACAGTTGGATAGCTCCGTGGTCTGCGCCTGCGCTGACTCTTACCAAGTCAACGAGTTGCTTTCCCCTCCCACAGCCCAGGACAACTTCTGCTCGGTGGATGCTTTGGCCTGTATCCTTCTGTCCCCACAATTCAGATGCTGCGTGATTATTCTCATGGTGATGGCATCTGGAGGTGATGTCTTTGGGACATGATTATATCATGAGGACCACTTGTCATGAATGGTATTAGTGACCTCATAAGAAGTCTCATGAGGTAGTTGATCTCTCTAGTATTTTTTCTGTGTATGCGTGTGTGTGTGTGTGTGTGTGTGTGTGTGTGTGTGTGTGTGCTTTCCCTGTATGTATACATGCACTACCTGAGTAGGCCGGAGCAATCATCAAATCCCCTGGAACTATAATTGCAGATGGTTGTGAGCTGCCATGTGTGGGTGCTGGGGACCAAAGCCCCATCCTCTGCAAAAGCAGCAAGTGCTCTTAACTGTTAGGCCAATTATTATTACTGCTGTTTGAAGACAGGGTTGCTGGTATCCCAGGCTGGCCTCAGCCTGACTAAGTAACTGAAGATGACCTTGAACTCCTGATCTTCCTGCTTCCTCCTCCTGAGTGCTGGGATGTTAGTAGTGCATCACCAAGCTGCTTTATGTAGCTCTGGGGAATCGAATCCAGAACCTCAAGCATGCGTGGCAAGCACTCTATCAACTGAGCTATGCCCTTGGTGTCTGGTCCTAACTTTGTAAAATGGACAATAATGAGGTGAAATTGCTGTTACTGTCTATTTTGGTGTTTTTTAGAGATACGGCCTCAAATTTCTGATCTTCCTGCTTCCACACAGTGCTGGGAGATGTTGAAATACTATTGAATTTCATGAACGTCCTGTGGCTTAAATTAATCCTAACCATTCCTAAATCCAGTGAGCAGGAGTCAAAGAGAAATGGTTGACAGCCACTAACATGGGCCAGATGCAACATTACTGGGTTGGCAGGAGACGCCAGAGTTCTAGAGTTTCTGCTGCCGACTTGCAGATGGAATTTGTATCATTAGGGTCTCGTTGCCTGGAGTCAGAGCCTCTGGGAACCTCAGTTCCCCTGGTTGCAAACGGGGAGTAACAATGCCAACTCCTGGGGGAGTTCGGGGACAGAAAGCTCTTCCAGCACAGTGCTGAAATGTGGCCTGGTGCAGAGGGCATGTGCTGGGCCTCTGTGGCTTACCAAGCCTGACAGGGATGGACCAGAGGGTGCATTCCTTCCTTAGAGGACGTTAATGTTCAGGGGTGCGAGGGAGATGGAAATATACACAGTTATTTCAAAATATTCTGACTGCGTCTCAGAGAGTGCTGGCTGGAAGAGCATCTTGAGGGCAACTCCATAACATCCCTCTATTTTGAGATGCATGGACCTCAAATCCAGCACTTGCAGGGTCGACTGCCACAGGAACAATCACCGGGTGTGAGGAGACACAGGCCATGGGGCCACTCACAGGATCGTTGTCTGTGATCGAGAAATTGAAACTGAAAGCCAGGTGTGGGGTCCCGGCCTGAAATCTGGGGATTTG